ATGAAAGTTCTATGTCTGATTATAAGGGTCATAATAAGTCCATAAGCATGCTAAAAAACACTAGACGATGAATCTACCATGAATATGCTCTATAACTCATGCAACCTAACAAACACACCTAGTGATCTATATTGTAGTATAGATGAGTTAGAAGTGATTTACCTTGGGTTTCTAAGGTTCTGGAAGCTCCTTCAACTCAACCAATAGTGTGATTTTCCTTTCCCTTGCACTTGGAGCTATCTCTAGCTTTCCTCACTAAAAAGAATTAAACATAATGGTTACTAACATTGCTGGAGAAAGTTTAGAAAGGAGTTTAGAACGTTTCTTGAGGGTTGAATCTCTATAAATAAAAAAGTTAGTTTGCTATAGGATTCTAAACCCCCACTAAAACCATATTTTGGATACCTTGATGGAATGAGGAGATTAAGGGCTTGAATCAAACTTGTAAGGATGAAGATTATAGTTCTTACCTTGGTGTTTCGCATTAGGGCTGGTGAATAATAAAACTTTCAAATTTGCTCAAGGATAATGGAGGATGAGAAAGTTTGAAGGAGAAAATTAAACAATTATAAAAAAAGAGATACGAGAGAAAATCATACGTGGTATCACCAATCCTTAATGGGTTTTCAACCTTTAAACTAAAAATGCTGAAATGGTCCCCATAGTCCTCCTAACTTTAACCATAACTTAAAAATTCCCCATTTTACAATTATTAGGCCCAATATTACTCAATGGGTCAAAGTCTCTTACAAGCTTGTGGGTTTATTTAAACTTTCTCTTGGGTTAACCCGACTATACTAACCCAAGGTTCGGAGCGTTACAACTATCCCCTCTTAAAAATAAGAAACTTCGTTCTCAAAATTTACCTAGATAGAAGAGGTGAGGGTATTGAAGCTGCATGTCTTCCTCGGTTTCCCAAGTCTCTTCCTCAACGCCATGTTCCTTAGCTCCTTTACATCTCTAGCTAATATTTTGATGGTTCCTCCTCATAGGTCATGTCTGGGCTGAATTCGATATGTTCTAGGGGTATGACGTGAGATGGAGCGGATCGATATCTCCTTAGTATGGATACATGTAACAATGCGCTCCAACTCTGGTGGTAAAGCCAATCAATAAGTCACTTGTCCAACCCTCTTTAGTACCTTGTAAGTCACTTTTCCCCCACTATGAACTCTATATCCATGCATTTTAAATTTTCATAAAATATCTTCTTATCTGAAGCCTCCTTCAATCAACTCTAAATCAATTGGACTTTCTCCTCGATTTCTCTAATCAAATATAGACCCATAATATTACCCTCATTGAGCTCTTTCTAACAAAGTGGAGTTCTACACTTGCGCCCATACAAGGCCTTATACAGAGCCATCTGAATGCTCGACTGAAAACTATTATTGTGTATGCAAACTCCACTAATGACAGGTGGTCCTCCCAACTACCCTCAAGATCTTTGATAGTGCACCTAAGCGTGCCTTCCACGATTGGATAATAATTTCTAAATGGTCATCTCTTTGAGGGAGGAAAATGATACTAAAATTTAGTTTGGTGCCTAGGGAGTCATGAAGGGCTTTCCAGAATTGAGAATTGAATCAAAGATCTCTGTCAGATATGATGAAAATCAGTACTCCGTGTAACCTCACTATCTCACGGATGTATAAATGAGCTAATCTCTCTAAGGTATAATCCATCCTAACTGGGAGAAAATGGGTTGATTTGGTTAAATAGTCAACTATGACCAAAACTGCATTGTGTCTCTTTTTGGTCATGGGAAACCTGGTCACAAAGTCCATGGTTACTATGTCCCAATTTCACTGAGGAATTTGAATAGGCTGAAGTAATTCTTAGGGAACCTGGTGTTCTGTTTTAACCTATTGAAACACTAAGCATGTAGCGATAAACTGTGACACTTCCCTTTTCATGCCAGGCCACCAATACAACTGTCGAAGTTCCTGGTACATCTTGTTACTACTTGGATAAACTGGGAGTGGACTGTAATGTGCCTCATGAACGATTTTACTACGCAACTAAGCGTCTACAGGTACGCACAACCGACCTCTAAAATAAAATACTCCACCCTCAAGCAACTCAAAACCCAATGCTTTGCCTTGGTGAACCTGCTCAACCTGAGCCTTTAACCAATCATCTAAACTGTACAATCTCTTGGTCTTGCCTACTAACTCTGGCTCAACTCACAAATCGACTAACAACTCACATTTACAAGGCTAGGTTCCTATTTGTGATGTAATTAATAATATATATGTTTTATTATATTATGGCCTGGTTTATATACCAAAAAGCAAATTTCCCCCGGTGAAATCTCAAAAATTCCCAAAATTTTCTCCAAATCAGATAACCCATAGTAATCCCGTCATCAAGCCATCAACCACCATTTCTCCTCATTTCGACTTCGTTATCGTGCCTCGCCGCCATCAATAGATCCATCTTCCTTCGGTGACTCAACCCTGATCTCTCACGACCCCGTATCAGTCACCGTTTACCGGGATCAAGCGATTGAAAGCTTCATCGAAACCCAAAACCAATGCATTCATTTTCCTCATTTTTGGTCATTCCAGCTGCCATTCTGCCTCACGCCGACCCCCACTGCACTCCCCCAGAGGATTCCGATCAGAACCCGACCCATCCCGTTGCTCAATGTTACATCGTCGTTGTCCGTTGTCGTGGGTAAGCTCGGGTCTATAGTTTGGTTAATTTTCTTCCGATTTTGGCATGATTTTGTTTAAATTTTGATTGTATTTGGTGAGCGCTTGAACATGGAGTAATCGGAAGCCGTCCCCTGACCCGTCATCGTCGTCACACGATGTCGCGTGCTCCCCAACTCTGGTTTCTTCTAGAACCGATCCAGCCAATATAGATCGGTCCAACCCGACCCGAACTTAGTCAACCCAACCTGGCATGACCCTTTGACTTTGACCTGACCTATTGATCAGTTTGACCGTTGACTTTGACCTGTATGACCATTGGCTAACTTTGACAAAAAAAGTTAAAATTTCTGAAAAGTCCTATTTTATGTTTTTCGACGTCCAGAGTCTGAATTTGAAGTTCGTTTTGCCAAATTTGCACTCGGTAAACCATTTTTTAGTGATTTATCTTCTAAATCAAATTTAGTTTTCCTATTAAGTTTAGTTTTTGACATAAATTTGTTTGCTTTGTATCCAAGACATTATGGGACTTGGAATCAAAGTTCGAGAATGATTGAATGGAGTTTAAATTGTCAATCGATATGGTTCATAAATCGAGGTAATACTCTACTACCTCTTGTATGCTTTCTGAAACACATTGATAATTTATAAATGCATGAATGAAAATAATTGGTCCATGAGGTGTATTTAATTTTCATTAGACTTAAACTAAGTATGGAATAACGGCATAACATTGTAGAAGACTCAGATTGCTCGCAAAGGAATTTAGTAGACCAATTAAAAATAATTTTAAGTCATTAAATTATGTAATAATAAATTGATCTCAGAATCCAAAATTATGATTTATTTCTTTAAAGGTTAAATGCGAGGAATATATGATTAAGAAATTACAAAAATACCTTTATAAGGTAAAAATTACTAAAATACCTTCGAATAGTAAAATGACCGTCTATAAGGGTTTTGAATGATGTACCGTTTATAAGGGTTTTAAACCAAGAATCAAGCACGTTAACATTTCTTGATATTGTTGCAATACAGAAATAAAATAAATACTGTTGGAATACATGTTCGTCTCCCTAAGATCTATTCAGCGATGACTCTGTAAATGATCAGTTCGACCAGAGTTGTCAGTATTAAAGTATGAATACCCTTGAAAAGCATCGATTTGACCGGGTGACAGGTATCACAGTGCTAGGATTTGTTCAGTTCAAGTTAACTCGATATCCTGATAAATTGATACGAATTTTGAATACCATGAATTATCGTTTCTCCCTTATTAGATCAAATTACTCAGAATTCTACAAGAACTTAATGTCCAAAATGCCCTGATTTCCTAAATACTAGAATCACTTCATCATATCTGAAAATCACAAGTAACTCTAATACAAAGGATTTTGAATACCTTTATGAATACGTTGTCCCTCTGAAAAATATATGAATACTTTATGATCTTGATAAATCATGTCTCGAATAACTGATGAATCTGTCAATTATCAAACCCTTTTATAGGGATATCATTTCTGAATTTAATCAGTTTATAGAAGTTTCATGGCTCCCTACCTGATAAATACCAAGTACCTTCGGAAAATAACTGGATCCTCTAGTGTGTTCCCTATTTGTTATATGATTGTTTTATCTAATCTGAAATTTATTTTACCGAGATTTTTGAGTTACTGAAGTTTTAAGTATATATGTCAGGTTTATGATCTTTGGCTACTGTTTCTACTGAATTGATATGTCTAAACTCTAATTTCCTACTACCAATGATTACTGTCTGAAAAATGTTATTCTTCGGGGTACTCTGGGATTTGGTATGAAGTCTCTGCAGCTTCAGCTCGATCAAACTGGTAATTCCTTATATAGGTTCAGATGGATCGAACTGGTAATTTCTTACGACAGTTTCAGCTTGGTAAAACTGGTAATTCCTTATATAGGTTTAGAGTGATTGAGCTGGTAATTCCTTACAGATCTAAGGTGACCCTTGGGTGGGCTCCTAGGCCAAATGGGCCTAGTGTTAAGACCTTATGAACCCAAAGGAACCCCTTTAGGGTGATACCTCTGCTATGTTCTTTGGTAAGTCCTTATTGACCTGAGAGCACTCGCTTCAGGTGGGCACCTACGCTTCAACTAGGGTAAGACCATATTAACCTAAGGTATTCCCTTAGATTGGCACCTATGCCTAATGGGCCTAGGGTAAGTCCTTTTGGATGGGGAACTGCATATTAGCATTTGGTTGGATGGTTTTACCATGGTTTTAAAAATACGTTTTAAATTGGTAACACAATAGACATCCTATTCTTATCTCCTGAACATAGTCCTCCAAATGTTTCCTCTGAACTGTAAGCTTCATGTCTGTTACTACCTGAAATATCAGTGGGACCTCAACTCATCACAAAAATTTGTATATATCTAAATCAATAAGGAAAATTATTCTTGTCTGTTATATGTATGTCCTTCAGCATCATTTGGTAATTATATGTTATTGAGCTTCCCAAAGCTTACTCTGTTACTCACTATTTAGGTTAAATTGATCCATTTCAGCTATCGACATCAGTATTGGAGTTCCACTGGATTTACTTGTGGAGTACGATGCATGTGTTTAGGGGGCACGTAGGTGGTATTATGTTTTTATATCCGAGTTTGAAACGTGTATGATTTTAATTCTGTTTGTAGTATATGAATGGTTTTCTGAACTTGTATTTTAATTATAATTTGTTTTTAAGATTTTACATATCTTAATAGAAATTTTAAATTTTTTCGGGATTTCACTATGGGTCACTCTGGTGGCCCTACTGTGACACCTCATATCGGATCGGGTCACCCACATTGGTCTATGGGTGTTACATTTAGTGGTATCAAAGCTTAGGTTGAGTCAAGTTTCTGGGTAGACCGATCGGTCAACTGTTATAGGATGTCTGGTCAGTCATGCCCCTAGACTATAATCGTACTTCTTTGAGCTAGAACTCCAAGGTAGAGCCTCTCTCTATATTGAGCTAACCTAAGTTTTCTATTCGTTAGGGCTCGACCTATGCATACAGGAATAACAGTAATATTTGTCTAATTTTTATAAAGTGCCCCACGAGTAATGTGAGAGTTACTTATTTGAGAAATTCTTACCTGAATCAAAAAATGAAATTTGAATATATTTATCGCTCTATGAACTTAACCTCATAGCCAAGGTCGAATTGATTCCACAAGGAAAATTATGTTCAAATTCTTTTATTGGGAATAAGGGAGAGTTTTGACAAGAATATACATTCAATTGGTTAATGATTAGTAAATGAACCGTACTTCTGTAATAGCTACCTGAATATGGTGAAGAATTGCTGAAAGCTTCACTTATTCATTTCTGTGACTTGAGTGAATTTCAAAGGTGAAATTCTTTTAAGGTGAGGAGAATTGTCACATCCTAATTTAGGGGCTAGATTTTTATTAATTTAAAGTATCAAATTAAAGTTGTAACAAGTGAAAAATTAAGGACCAAACTATAAATTTTTAAAAGTTATAGCTAAATTTTAGAACTTGTGGGAAGTTTATGGACTTAACCCTGAATTATCCCATTTTTTGATCTATTGAAAAAAATGGGATTAGGGTGACGAACCCGTGACCCTAGGGTCATGGGTGCTTATGCCCTAGTCACTAGGCTAGGTTCATATTTTTGATGTAATTAATAAAATACATATTTTATTATATTATGGCTCGGGTTATATACCCAAAACAAATTTCCCCCGGTGAAATCCCAAAAATTCCAAAAAGTTTTCCCCAAATCAAATAACCTGAAGCAACCCTGTCCTCAAGCCATCGACCACCATTTCACCTCGTTCTAGCCTTCATTGTCGTGCCCCGCCACCATCAATAGATCCATCATCCTCTGATGACTCAACCCTGACCTTTCACGACCCCACATCGATCGTCGTTCATAGGGATCGAACGTGAAAGCTTCGTCGAAACCAAAAATCACCGCCTTGATTTTCCTCATTTTCGATCATTTCATCCACCATTCTGACTCACACTGGCCACCGTTGCACTCCTTAGACAATTCCGATCAGGACCTGGCCTATTGACCGGTCTAACCATTGACTTTGACTTTGACAAAAAACTCAAAATTTTAGATAAATCCTTTTTTTATGATTTTCAACGTCTTGAGTCTGAAATCGAAGTTTATTTTTCCAAATTTGCACTCGGTAAACCATTTTTCAGTCACTTATCTTTGGAATCAAATTTGGTTTTCCGATTCTAACATAAATTTGTTTGCTTTGTATCTGAGACATTATGGGACTTGGAATCAAAGTTTGAGGGTGATTGAACGAAGTTTAAATGGTTGATCGATATGGTTCATAAATTGAGGTAATACTCTACTACATTTTGTATGCTTTCCGGAACACATTGATAATTAGTCAATGCATGATTGGAAATAATTGGTCCATGAGGTGTATTTAATTTTCATTTGACTTAAACTGGATATAAAATAACGTCAGAATATTGTAGAAGACTCAGACTACTCGCAAAGGAATTTGGAAGACCGATCGAAAATAATTTTAAGTCCATGAATTATGTAATAATAAATTGATCTCAGAATCCAAAATTTTGATTTATTTCTTTAAAGGTTAAATGTGGGGAATACATGATTAAGAAGTTATAAAAATACCCTTATGAGGTAAAAATAACCAAAATACCCTCGAAGTGTAAAATAACTATATTATATGATCAAGTTGAACTAAATGGAAGTATCATAGTTTTCTGAATTATGGAAACGACTGAATTACTCTGGAAAATCCGAAGTGATCGGGATAACTTGACTACTAAATGACCTAAGTACCCTCAAAGACCTATAATTAAGCGATAACTTAGACAAGTTTGGAAACATTGATGAACTTACATGATGTACAATCTATAAGGGTTTTTAACCAAGAATCAAGCACGTCGATATTTCTTGATATCGTTACAATTCAGAAATAAAATAAATATCGTTGGAATACATGTTCGTCTCCCTAAGATCCATTCAACGATGATTGTAGATGATCAGTTCGACCAGAGTTGTCAGTATTAAAGTATGAATACCCTTGAAAAGCATCGATTTGATCAGGTGATATGTATCACATTGTTGGGATTTGTTCAATTCAAGTTAACTCTATATCCTGATAAATTGATATGAATTTTGAATACAATGAATCATCATTTCTCCCTTATTAGATCAAATTACTAAGAATTTTCCAAGAACTTAATGTCCAAAATGCCCTGATTTCCTGAATAACGGAATCATTATTGTCATATCTGAAAATCACAAGTAACTCTAATGCAAAGGATTTTGAATACCTTTTTGATTACGTAGTCCCTCCGAAAAATATCTGAATACTTTACGATATTGATAAATCATGTCTCGAATAACTGATGAATCTATCAGCTATCAAACCCTTTTATAGGGATATCATTTCTGAAATTAATCAGTTTACAGAAGTTTCATGGCTCCTACCTAATAAATACCAAGTACCTTTGGAAAATAATTGGTTCCTATAGTGTGTTCCCTGTTATATGATTGTTTTATGTGATCTGAAATGTGTTTTACCGAGATTTCTGAGTTACTGCAGTTTTAAGCCTTCCTATCTGGTTCATGATCTCTGGATATGATTTCTACTAATTAATATGTTTGAACTCTGATTTCTTACTACCACCGATTACTGTATGAAAAATGTTCTTCTTCGGGGTACTCTGGGATCTGGTATAAAGTATCTGTAGGTTCAACTCGATCAAACTTGTAATTTCTTATATAGGTTCAGATGAATCGAAATGGTAATTCCTTACGGAAGGTTCAGCTCAGTCAAACTCGTAATTCCTTATATAGGTTCATACCGATCGAGATGGTAATTCCTTACGGATCTAAGGTGACCCTTTGGTGGGATCCTGGGCCAAATGGGTCTAGTGTTAAGACCTTGTGGACTCTAAAGAACCCCCTTGGGGGTGGTACCTCTGCTATGTGTTTTGGGTAGGTTCTTATTGACCTGAGGGCACTCCTTTCAAGTTGGCACCTATGCTTCGACTAGGGTAAGACCTTATTGACCCAAGGTGTTCCCTTATATTTGCACCTATACCCAATGGACCTAGGGTAAGTCCTTATGGATGAATTTCTAGGGAACTACATATTGGTGTTAGGTTAGAGGGTTTTACCATGATTTTAAAAATATGTTTTAAACCGTTACTATTTTAAAAAGATATATACCTTTTCACTGGTTTTGTGGGAACACATTAGACACCCTATTCTGATATTCTGAACATAGTCCTCCAAATGTTTCCTCTAAACTATAATCTTCATGTCTGCTACTACCTGATATATCAGTTGGACCTCAGCTCACCACAAAAATCTGTAGATGCCTGAATCAATAAGGAAAATTATGCTTGCATGTTATCTGTTTTTCCTTCAATATCATTTGGTAATTATGTATTACTGAGCTTCCTAAAGCTCACTCTGTTACTCACTATTTCAGGTTAAATTGATCCAGTTCAACTATCGACATCAGTATTGGAGTTCCACCGTCGTTACTTGTGGAGTATAATGATTGTGTTTAGGGGGCACGTAGATGGTATTCTGTTTTTATATTTGAGTCTGAAACATGTATGATTTTAATTCTATTTGTAGTATATGAATGCTTTTCTGAAATTTTATTTTAATTATAATTTGTTTTATGATTTTACACATCTTAACAGAAATTTTAAATTTTTCCAGGATTTCACTATAGGTCGCTCTGGTGGCCCTAATGTGACACCTCGAATCGGATTGGGTCACCCACATTGGTCGTGGGTGTTACAACAAACTTATGAAAAAGAGTTATGATAGAGAATCAAATGTTATATCATCAATCCTTAATGGTTTTAAGCCTTTAAACTAAAAATGGTGAAATGGTCCCATTGGTGTCCTCCAAACTTTGACTGCAACTTAAAAATACCTCTTTTTACAATTATCGGGCTCAATCCAAGCCTAATTCTACTCAAACTTAGATAAAAGTCTCTTTTAAGCTTGTGGGTTTATTTAAACTCTCTCCCAGGTTAACCCGACTCTACTAACTCATGATTATGGATGTTACAATATGTTAGTATTTATCATCCCAAATGAAAATTAGTATTTTACATAATTACATGTGCAATTTTGATAATAAGCATGTGATAATTATTCGGTTTGATGTGTGAGTTATAAATCGACCCAAAGTAAGATTTTTGCTTGACATTTTGTTATTATCAATGTTTGGTTACCGCACTAGATATCACTTAAGGTGAATATTTTGTCTAAAGAGGAAATATTAATGGAGTACCTAATATCTTGATATGAGGTTTAAGTGTATTCAAATTTATTATTATTTTGGTTATCTTTTAATTTAATTGAAATAATAAAATTAAGAGAAATTTATTGGTTAATAGTATTTATATGGTTTTATTTATATTATTAATGCAATATATGTATTTATTCAATTAGATTTTTCAGTTTTGATTGCTGGTTATTAGAATATATATTTTGAAATAAATTAATTAATATTATGATTATGTTTAACATTTTTTATTGATTAGTTGAAATATAATATCGCCAAAGTGACCTCTTTTGTGTAGAATAATTTATTTTAAATATTAATATGATTATGTGTTTCTTGTTATTCATGTGTTTATTAATTGGCCCAAAGGAAAATTAATATTTGGTTGGATTTCAAGCGACACATATGGTAATAACATGTGACAATTATAAGGTAGTTTTTTGTGAGCATTACATTAGTCCAAAGATTAGTATTTTGATCGACATAGTCTATTGTTAATGTTTGATTACTACAATAAAAGTATTGTTTGTTGTTAGTATGAATTTTTAAATACTTGGTATTAATGTAGCGTTTGGTATCTTGAGATAAAAATTAATCATTATTTTGAATTTATTGTTTGCTTATGTGAGCTTGTTGTTTATTTTATTCAACTAGTTCTTTTGCTATAACAATTTTTGCTAATATCAATTCTATTCACATGCTTATGGGAAAAATTTCAATTAATAAAAAAAACACTTACATAAGGTTTTGTTTGTATGAACATAGAATTTGCACTAAGGAAAGAACAATTTTCACCTTTCATGTGGATAACATTTTTCATTGGTGTAAAGGATTTTGAGAGATGAAATTTATTTAAATTTCATGAGTCTAGTGGCCATGAAACATAACATTTTTAATACTTTAGGGACACATAATCTAAAAATATTACTTAGGCCAATGGTTTCCTTGATGAAATTGAGAAATGTTTTTTTTTTAAAAAATAAAGTTTAAATGACATCATGTTTGACTTCTTTGATATCTATAAAGTATAAGGGCCAAGAAAATATGAGGGAGTACATTATAGATATGTTTTTTTCATTGTGTGCAAGAGGAAGAAAAGTTGAAGCATAATAAGTTTTAAATTACTTATTTGAAAAGTTCATATAAAGATAAGTGCAAAAAATCAGAATATAGTTGTTAAGGGTCCAACTCAAAAGAGATAACAATATGTTATAAAAGGTTGTTCTAGTAATAAGTAAGGATATATAAGGAGAAATAGAACTCTAAAACAATAAGCTACTACTTTGGTTATTATGAGAAATTTAGGGGTTATCATGATCTCATAATTAAGAATATTTTTAAGATGAGAAATATAACAATCTTTTTTAGGATGTTAAATTTGGAGGGAGTAATAGGCTTTAAGGAATTGATTTATATGAGGAATTGGATTATAACTCAATTATTACTATCACTTTTGATGATATCTATGTGTCAATACGTTTCGTTAATCAAGAAGTGAATCTAGAAACTCAACAATGTTATTTTGAATAACTCTCTATTTGAGATGAGAAATCATTTCAGAAGATCATATGACAAAAATATTATTTAGATTATTATATTGTATTTCTCTAAGAAATAAGGATGACAATGGGATGATGGAAGATGATATAATCAACTTTCATCATGTCATAAAAGTTTTGATTCTCAAAAGTGAATTAATGTCATGTAAGACGAGTATAAGTTTTATACAAGATAATGAAGTTTAAGAACTTATCTAATTGCTTGAATGTTTAAAATTGATTGGTTACAAATGGATATTTAAAACCAAGATGGATGCAAATAATGATGTTAATAGGTGTAAGGCGTGTATTGTATCTAAAGGATATACTCATAAAAAAGAAATTAATTTTGTAGAGGCATTCTCTTTAGTTTCATTGAAAGACTCTTTCAAGATAATCATGATACTTTTTGCTCATATTTGATCTTGAGTTACATATGTTGGATTTCAAAATTGTGTTTCTCATTGGTAACGTTGATGAGATATCTTATAAGGTGAAATTAGAACATTGTGTCTGATAATACAAAACTAATGATATGCAAATTAAGGAAATCAATTTATGTATAATAAATTTCACCAAGTGATTATCTCATTTGATTTTGAGATGAATTTGATTGATAATTGAATAAAATATAAGTTCGGTGGGAGTAAACCAAAATATACTCTTTATTGCGAAAGGAAACAAATTTTGTTTTAATAAATGCCTTAAGAATGATTTTGACACTAAGGAAATGCAAAAGGTTCCTTATACCTCATAAATAAATAAAGAGTTTAATGTAAACTCAGGTTTATAAGCATTCAGACATAATGTATAATTTTAGGATATTAAGAAGATATTTAAGCAACTTGGGTATAAATTATTGGATAGCAGCCAAATTGATTCATATGATACATTTAAGAATAAAAATATTACATGCTCACATATCAGAGGTCTAGTAAGTAAGGGATCATAGGTTTATGGACTCGGACTTATTTGAATAAGAATATAAAATTTTGTCACATGAACTGTTAATTATGGGTTGACAAGAAAGACCACTTGAGTTATTTTATGAAAACAAAGTTACAGTCCTTTTTCCATATACAACTGAAACACCTTAAAGTCTAAGCACATATGCATTATGTTTCTGGTTGGTAAATAAAATTCAGAGTGCTTATGTGTTTATAGAGCATATTTGTACAAACTCATGATTGTACGCTTACTAAGAAACTGTCACCCTGGGTCTTTCATGTGCACACTAATTATGTGGGTGTAATATCAATTGAAGATATTTATTTTTAGCGGAAGTTTGTAATTTTAATGCTCATTTGTTATAAATACTATTTTAGTTACTTTAGTTTAAGGATATTTATTTTATTTTAAGATTATTTTCTGCATAAATAAAGTTTTTTTGATTTATCCATACTCTAGTTTTGGTAAAATTTGATCTCACTAATGTTTAAAAAAGATCGGTTTAAAATAGACATGTGTGGTTCATATTGTATGTAATTTCCATGCTACACTCCATGATTGAGCTAAGTCATTTGATTATATTTGTATACGTGACCATTGGTAGGTCTAGTTATGATTGTTATGGTCAAAGGTCGCTTTGATCCTATAGTTGATGAATGTGATTATTAAAGATACTTATTGCATGATAACAAATTTTGAGCTCATATGGTTATACATTTATCAGGAAACATATGTTGCCCAAGTGGGAGATTGTTAGATCAAAATCTATAATTATTACCATATATTTTTAATGCATATTGTTATCATAAAATATAAATAAATTAAGTGATCAATTATGTTATAAAGTCATAAGGTATTAGAAGTATAATGGAAATAAAAGTGTAGATATATACTATTATAGTTGTATTTATAATTCGATGAGTGGCAGAGTTAGAAGTACACACAATAATTGATTCTTAAATTAGCTATATAAAGAGGTTATGTCCCCAAGAAATAGACAACTTGTATTTTCTATTATCTCTTTAGAGAGTTTATACTCAAGAAAATTCTATCTTCTTGGATGATCACAACCAAAGATATACTCAAGAATTTCAACCTATCGACTAATTCAACTACCCTTCTGCATCTTGTATCTTAATCTTGACGATTTGACGTGATTAGATCTTGATTAATTTTTCATATGATTATGAGTAGGTTCTAAGTTTATGGAATATTTTATGCCATTATCTTACTTGGAAATTGAAATTTATATGACGCATTTCTTTTCTTCTAACTTTATTTCCTAATGCTACAACCATTTATTTGTCTCTCCTCTTTTAACCTATTTTTATATATCGATGTTTTGAGCCGTGACAATGCTTAACTTTTTTTTTAATTCATACTCTCATAGAAAATATTAGATATTAAACTATTTGATAGTCATAATCTGATTGTTCGAAAGGGTTGTTATCTTTATGTTTTAAAGTTAAAGTGTCAGATAACCATTAAAAAATACATTTAGAACAGTATTATTCTGCTAATTAATAGTCACTACAAGAAAATATACCTTTAATGACACACGAACGATGACACACGGTAATTTATGACTTGCAAAACATATGTGTCATAAAACAAATGTCATGTTTTTTAAAATCTGAACGATTTATGACTTACAATAATGTGTTTCATATTTAATAGTCATAATCAAAAAAATTCAAAAACACGGAGTACAGTTTTAATTGTGTGTCATCTGTAAAAGTCGTATTTTAATTTTCTCTCATTATTTTCATCCTTTCCCGCTTCTTCCCCCTTTTTCTCTTTTTCCTTTTTCTTTTTGCAGCAGTCCACTGGTTTGGAAACAAAATCGACGATACCCGCCCCATCCTTGACTGGATTTGCTCTTTCCTCTGCCCCTCCAACGTCCTCTCCCTATCTGAACTCTCCCTGTCAATTCCCTCTCCATTTCTACTCTCCTCTATTTCTCTTTGGTTAGGAAACAAAATCGATAGATTAAACCCTCTATTTAGGTTATCATTGATGGAACCAATCTAAATTTGTGCATCTACGAGCAAATCGTACAAGAAGGGAAGCTGTTGGAGGTCAATTTTTATTTATTACGTATTATTTTGCTACAATTTTTGAGGCAGAGCATTAATATCTGAGTTTTGTTTGATTAAATAGGGGGAAGACTTGGACTTTGTTTATGATAGCATTTCAGCATTCTCCTCGAGGAGGGATAATCAGGAGGTAGTTTTTGGAACTGAAGAAGGATTAAAAGATATTAGGTATTTCTATTGCTTTATCGATGTACAACACTAGCACACGACATTGTGTCATTATTGGCATTTTCTTTAATATTTTTCTTTTTGCTATATAAAGAGATTAATCATGATGTAACTCAAGATTAAGCTGTTGATAACCCTGAAGACATTTAGCTAAGGGGTGGTGTTGGTGTGATATTTTTAGATAGCCTGGATGTATCTTTCTTGATGTCGCGTTTTCGAGAGGATTATATATTTTTAGTGTACTCCATAATAGCTTGTTATACTGATGGATTTCTTTTTTCCTGTAGGGATGCAACTACAGCGTATAAAGATGAAGCCTTAGAGCTTCAGAAACATCTTAGGCATTTGTAGTCTCAATTTCATATGCTTACGGGTCAGGCTACAGCTTTGATCCATGGCAGACGGGCACGAATTGCTGCAACATCTACCGCCAATGGACACCTTACAACAATAGATGATAGTCTCTCAGTAAGGAACTTGCAGGTACGTAAATCTAGCCTATCTCTTGTCACTTTAAATATTTGAAATTTTTTATGTTCAAATTTGATCAAACTGGGATGGAATGTATATCTCTGAGTTGTTGTTTATGCTGCATGACTTGATTCTGTAGCACAGAGTGTAAAAGGAATTAAATGAAAATTTATCTTAACAAATAGCTTTTCCTTTTATTTTTTTTCATAGCTTTCTTCTCAGAGGAAACTGTTTATCTGCTTTAACATTGAAGTAGTATTTATCCCTCTTTTTCCTCTACGATTTAGATAAATGAAGTTCTTGGAAAAATAGCATCTAAAGCACAAGAGCTGGCACATTACCATTCTAGAGATGGTACTATTTTCGTTTTTTATTATGTTAAGTTATTATGCTGTTATGTTCATTTCAAAATGATGCATGTGATTTTGATCTAGTTGTGTAAGAGGTTGATCTCAGTATGGGTTTGATTTACGTCAATGAAGACTGCCTTTAACCCTGCATGGTTTATAATGCTCTGCCTCATCCCTTATACCCATTTTGGAAGCCCATCAGTTTGGTTGTGTTACTTTGAATCTTATTGTCTTCTGCATTACGTTTGTAATTGTGTATTTGGTTCTTTTCATGGTGATAATATATTTATGTTGTTTCCTTGTTGGTTCTGAAAAACTGCCAAATAACAAATGGATATAAGAGCTTGAGATTTTGTGTGCTTAGCATTAGGGGAATGAAAGAATAGAGGGAAACTTTTCTAGTTGCATGCTTCTTCTTGATAAGCTTTAACTCATGATGTTTACATGCAGAGGAAGGCATCTACTTGGCTTATTCTGACTTTCGTCCGTACTTGGTTGGAGATTCATCCTGCATAATGGAGTTAAATAAGTGGTTTGCCAAGCAACTAGACACTGTATGATCTGTAAATATCATTTTTTTAATCTCATTTCTTTCTGCTACATAGTCTTCAACAATTTTATCATTGACATATCAATTTTTTTAAGCATCATTTTTCTCCCTAAAGTGTAAAACTCAGGGAAACAATTACTTCAAAAAATTTCAAGAGAGATTAGAGGTGTGCATCTAGTTGGTTTGGTCAGTTTGGTTTTTATATTCCTATAACCAAATTAACTGGTTAAGCCATCTAAACTGAATTAACTGGTTAAGCCATCTAAACCGAGTATATTGAACTGATTTTATTGTTAAGACTGAAATAACCTAACCAAATTGAAATAACTGCATAAACTGAACTAATACTTTTTTTTTTTTGCTTTTTAAGATTTATTTATTTATAAAATAAAAAATTATCATTTTCAAATTAAACATATATGCAATTAATCAAATTAATTGGATAATTGGGTTGAGTTATTTCATGTTTGTATATTTAATTTCATATTTAGATTAAATTAATTAATTGGATATTTAAATTAATTATTTGGTCAATTCAATTGTGTTTGTATTTTAATTTTTAGGTTGGGTTTATATTTCGAGTATAGTTGGGTTGGGTTTTATATGGGTATTGGATATTTGAATATTTGGATGGGTATGAATATGAGTTTAGGGTTTATTTATTAATTAAAAATTAAATCGGTTTATTTGGATAAAGCTTACTAAATAAATCAAAAAACCAAATAAATTGATTATTTTGGTTAAATCAGTTCTATTTGTTCGGTTATTCTGGTTTAATCAACTTTTTCCTCACCCATGGGGGGAGAGAATTTAAGAGTACGAGGCAGAAAAAGAAATCCTTCCCCAAAGGAGAGTAACAAAATGAAGCATTTCAATTTAAGAAGATGTATATCATGTAATTCCTCTAATTAATTTGCATGGACACCACTCTATAAAGTATATAGTATGTAGTTTGGGCAGCTCAAAAACTGGAACAGTTGCATGTAGATTACCATCAGCCTCTTATCTCCATATGACAATAGTTTTATTTGGATTTATTTGTAAAACCACATTAGTACTGAGAAATTGGATGGATGTGGGACCTGAGATCAATTCTTATATTTGTATATGAAAAATTTACAATTCTTTTGAATGATTTGAGAATCTGCTGCTTATTTTTATAAAGACATTTACTAGATATGTGTGTCTTATTTCTAGTTGATTATTCTTGCATATACATGGTGTATTTGTATCAGATTATTGCTTCTTGGGATATATGATTCTTAATCCCTTTGTTCTTATCTTTTCAACCAAGGCTGATTATTTTCCATTTTTTTATTGCAGATATATGATTTTCCACCGGAATATCTAAACACTGCCTCTCTTGCCCCATGATAAGTGCTTAATTTAGTTAATATTTTACTTTTAAATTACTCTTTAATCATTGATTTTTTGTCTTATTTGTTCATTTTAATTCATTTTCTGTACAGGACGTAAGATTATGGAAATTGCACAAAAAGGACACAATTCTGCAGATCTTTTTATTTTCGGAATCAAAGCTGGTTGGAATTCGGATTTGGATTAAACTCAAATTTAGGATAATATTTTAAACATTATATTTTACCTTTGTATTTTAGTTTAAATAGGTTTTTAGTATTTTAATTAAGTTTTAGGATATTATTTTTATATTTTATCTTTATCTTTGTATTTTAGTTTAAATATGTTTTAGTATTTTAATTAGGATTTAGAATATTATATTATTATTTTTTTGGTATTTTAGTTTAAATAGTTTTAAGTGTTTTAATTAGGATTTAAGATGTTTTAGCTTCTTTTTAGGATTTTGAAGGCTATAAATACCATCTAAGGGTGAGCCTAGAAACATATCTCTCTCATTTGAGAATAAAATCTTCTTTTTCTCTCTAGCTTTCTCTCTATTTTTTGCATACTTTTCTATTATGCTAAGTATGACTTTGGTTATGCTTAGCTAATTTTCTTTCAAGTCGAAGACTAAAGCGAAGGTTCAATTCCAAACATGAGAATTGTAAGGTACTTAAATCTCTTCGGATTTTCTCTCTGTTTCCTGAAGCTTACTTTTCAAATCAAAACTATTTCGACATTGGTCCGGATATTGTTATGGTTAATGTTTGAAGAATGATTTGCTTATTGAAGCATATTCAACTTCCTGAGAACACACTTAGCAAAATTATTTGCTAAGAGGAAACTGAGATCGGAATCAGTTGTTGTTGAAACGACACAATCCGAGTTGGCAGCGAAGAATTGTTCTTGTAAGGTTACGTGAATCTTGAAGTAAAATTTTGTTTCGATGATCCGAGGAATTTGAGGCGAAGCTGTAGTCTGAGGTTGTTTTCACAACTCTTTATCTTAATCTCTTTAATTTGTTTATTTAATTATTTTTTCCTTTTATTTAATTCTTATTTTTTATTTTAACCACAACTTTTAAAAAAATCCCCCTTTTATATTTATTACTATTAATATTTATTATTATATTATTTATCTTTTTTTTTTATTTTAATATATCTTTTCTACTTCATCTGAAATTCTATCTTTGTCTAAAATCAAGAAAGAGTTTTATTAAATCAGAAACACCACAGTTCTTGTGGATCGACCCTGCTTCTATATACTACATTTTCATTTTTATTTATTAAGAAGCCAGGAATTATTTTGATAGCAAAACGACGGTTATCAAATTGGCGCCGTTGCCGGGAATCAAATTAAATTGAGAGCTTTCCCTTTCTCTTTATCTGACTTGGCTAAAGATTGGTTATTTTATTTACTTCCAAATTCAGTTAATTCATGGGCTGACATGAATCGAATTTTTCTTGATAGGTTCTTTCCAGCGGCTAAAGCAAGCGAGTTGCGAAGGAGCATTCTTTCCATTCAGCAAAAGAGTGATGAAAGTCTTTATAACTATTGGGAGATATTTAAAAAGCTTTGTGCACGTTGTCCGCAACACGTATTAAGTGAGCAAACGTTACTTCAATACTTTTATGAAGGTCTTTTACCAATGAAGATGAAAATGGTGGATGCCGCTAGTGGAGGAGCATTAGTTAACATGACCCCAACAATAGCAAGGGAATTGATTTAAACCATGGCAGACAACTCTCAACAGTTTTTGAGTGAACCCAGCCGACGAGTTCACGAGATAAATACATTTTCCCTTGAAAATAAGTTAGATAAATTAATTGAAGTAGTTAATTCACTTGTTGCAGGAAAATCTGGAGCAACAAGAGCATGTGGGATATGCACAAAGCTAGACCATCCGACGGATTGCTGCTCGCTGATACAAAAAAGAGGCAATGCAGAAATCAATGCAGTAGGGAACTTTCCAGGTTCTCCACAAAGATAATACAACCCATACAACAATACTTACAATCCAGGATGGCGAGACACCCAAACTTCAGCTATGCCGCAAATCAGAGACCAACTTATCAACAAAGGCCTCCTCCTCAACAACAAACGCAAAACTCATCATTGGATGAACTCATAGGAAAGTTAGCAATTTCACAAGAATAGTTCATTGCATCCCAAGAAAAAATTCCAAAACCGAACAGAAACACATCTTCAAGAGTTAGATAATCAAGTAAGCCGACTAGCTTAAACTATGGGAAAATTGGAATCATAAGGAAAACTACCTTCTCAAACGGAGTTAAATCCGAGAGAGAATGTTAGTGACATCACACTCAGAAGTGGAAAAGTAATATCACCTGAAGTTCTAGCAGAAACAAACGCACATCAGGAAGAACAAGAGGAAACGCCACCTCTAGAAATACAAGGTACATCTGACTCACATCCTTCTCTTTCTTCTCATGAAATCACGCCACCACCCTTCCCATCAAGTTTGATGAAGCGTGATAAAAGAGCTAAAGAAAGGGAGATCTTAGAGGTTTTCCAAAAAAGTTCAAGTCAACATACCTCTTCTTGAAGTAATTCGACAAGTACCAAGGTATGCTTGATTTTTAAAAGAACTTTGTATTACAAAGAGGAAATTAATGGGACACGAAAAGGTAAATTTTGGAGAACATGTTTTTACAATTTTTCAACGAAAACTCCCACCAAATATGAAGGATCAAGGTATGTTCGCTATACCTTGCAAAATAGGTAATTTCAAAATTAAACGTACAATGTGTGACTTAGGAGCTTCAATTAATGTTATGCCATTTTCTATATATAAAATGATTACTAACGAGCCTTTGAAGGAAACAGGAATAACCATACAGTTGGTTGATCGATCTGTGATCTATCCAATGGGAGTAACGGAAAATGTCTTGGTAAAGGTTGATGTATTATTCTTTCCTGCAGATTTCTATGTCATTGACATGGAACATGATAAGTCGGATTCTTATTCATAGGTACTCTTAGGCTGACCCTTTCTAAGCACAACAAATAAAAAGATCGATGTTAGAAGTGGTATACTAACAATGGAATTTGATGGTGAGATCGTTGAATTTGATGTTTACAAAGAAATGAAATGCCCTGATCATGTTGAAAGAATTAATTTTATTGATATTATAGATCCTTTAATTGATGAATATATTGAATCTAATTTTTCTTATGATCTTTTTAAGGATCCTGAACTTTGCCACGAAGATGAAGAAAGGGAGTTTGAAAATATTAATTCAATCAATTATGATTTATCTTTATATTCCTCTAAAACTAAAATTTTACCTTCTATTTTGCAGGAACCTGAGGTAGAATTGAAGCAATTATCTGATCATTTGAAATATGTCTTTTTGGGCGAAAATGAAACTTTACCAGTGATCATCTCAAGTAAATTATCCAAAGGAGAAGAGGAAGCTTTGGTAGCGATATTACAATCTCACAAAGAAGCCATAGGATGGACCATTGCCGACATTAAAGGATTAAGTCCCTCGACTTGCATGCATAAGATCAAAGTTGAAGAAGGAGCAAAGCCATCACGTGAAGGATAACGTCAATTAAATCCACTAATGATGGAAGTAGTAAAGAAAGAAATTCAAAAACTCCTTGACATTGACGTAATCTATCCAATTTCGGATAGTAATTGGGTAAGTCCGATTCATGTGGTTCCCAAGAAAACGGGAGTCACAGTGGTCGAAAATCAAGAAGGGGAGTTAGTGGTAACAAGAATTCAAAATAGATGGCAAGTTTGTATTGATTACAGGAAGTTGAACTCTCTTACTCGAAAAGATCATTTTCCTCTTACTTTTATAGATCAAATGATTGAAAGAATAGCTGGGAAAACTCATTATTGTTGTCTTGATGGTTTTTCAGGTTTTTTCCAAATCCCAGTGGCGCCAGAGGATAAAGAAAAAATGACTTTTACTTGTCCCTTCGGTACATTTGCATATAGACGAATGCCCTTTGGTCTTTGTAACGCACCAGCCACCTTCCAAAGATGCATGCTAAGTATATTTTTCGACTATGTGGAGAAGGGCATCGAAGTCTTTATGGATGACTTCACGATTTATGGTAACTCTTTTAATGAATGTCTTGATAATTTAACTAATGTGCTTAAAAGATGCTTAGAATATAACCTTGTTTTGAATTATGAAAAATGTCATTTTATGGTTGATAAAGGGTTAATTTTAGGTCATATTGTTTCCTCTAAAGGGATTGCGGTTGATAAAGCTAAAGCAGATGTTATACGCTCACTTCCTTCCCCCACAACTGTGAGGGAAATTCGTTCTTTTCTTGGCCATGCAGGATTTTACCGCAGGTTTATTAAGGACTTTTCGAAGATAACACAACCTTTATGCAATCTACTTCAAAAGGATCAAGACTTTGACTTTAATTCAAAATGCAAAGAGTCTTTCGATTCATTAAAGGAAAAGCTTATTTCAGCCCAATTATTCAGCCGCCAGATTGGAATCATCCCTTTAAACTTATGTGTGACGCATCAGACACTAGCGTTGGAGTCGTTCTCGGCCAAAAAAATAGGGAAAAAGCCACATGTCATAGCCTACACGTCCCGAACTTTGGACTCGGCTCAAAAAAATTATTCGACAACGGAAAAAGAACTTTTTGCTATGATTTTTGCTTTAGAAAAATTTAGATCCTATTTGCTTGGTACTAAAATTAATGTTTTTTCTGATCATACAACTATAAGGTATTTGATGAGCAAAAATGAAGCAAAACCAAGGCTTATCCGGTGGATCCTGCTTTTACATGTATTTAACTTGGAAATTAAAGACAAAAAGGGATGCGAAAATCTGGTAGCATATCACTTGAGTCGAATTCCCCTTTCCACATCCGAA